AAGGACGTATTAAATGTTGATGTTGAGCTTTATTAGTAAATCTGAACCTGTCTTTCAGGTGATCCTGGTCTACCTGGAAAAGTCATCACTGCAAGTAAGAAATGTTGGCCTTGTCCTACTAAGTGTTCCTTGTATAATTTTTTAAAGTTTGGCTCACACAAACTGGTTTTTGTCTCCTCCATCTAGCTGGTTCTGAGACTGTGGCCATCCCTGGACCTCCAGGGCCCGCTGGTCCACCAGGCCCTGCTGGATCTCCTGGTTTGTCTGGCCCCATCGGTCCTGCTGGCGTCCCAGGACAAGCTGGTAGGTCCGCACTCTTGACAAATGTTCATGTACAGCGGGCACAAACTGTTAACCCTACGTATTGAACATACTGTACTGTATTCTCTGTGATTACACCTGGAATCAATCATTAGGTCCTAAGGGAGCACGAGGCGAAACTGGAGAAAAAGGAGAAACAGGAGAAAAGGGAGAGAAAGGAGAAAAGGGAGAAAGGGGAGCAGAAGGAGAAAAAGGTGCAAAGGGAGACAAAGGAGAGCACGGACCTCCTGGTGAGCCTGGCATCAGCATGGCAAGCTCAGGAACTATTCATGCCTCCCAAAACAATCGTGAGTACCTTTCTTTAGTTACTTGTTTTGATACTTCTTTTTTCTCCTGGTAGAATCAAGACGCTGTGTGAGCCAGTCATAACATCCTCTGTATTTTAATTTGTAACTTCCTCAGGGCCAGGACTGCCTGGTCCACCAGGACCCCCAGGTCCTCCTGGAGCACCTGGTCCTCATGGTCCTCCTGGTAAGTTAAAAGCTATTTGTTAAATACTAATGGTATTTCCAAATGACTGCGATAGTTTCTCAGATTCAGCTAGTGGTCATTTAAATCTTACTTACCCTGTTGTTTAGGTGAGACTAAACAAGGTCCTCCAGGACGCAGAGGTCCTCCGGGAGAGCCAGGTAAATAACTATCTAACATTACATGGACATGGACATGGATAGATCATCCGCATACAGGATGATTTAAAATGTTACTGCATTCTTAAATTCAGCTTGAAGCAAAATGCAATAGACGAGTGAGAGAGCAACAGCAAAAAGAATCAGCAATGAGAGACATTATCTTAAATGTCAAATAGTGTGGTACCAGAGAGACTGACAGAACGTGGACAGAGCTAACTAGCCATGAGAAGCTACGGTCCACATTGTTCTCTGATTGGATACATGGACTTGGGTAGTTATTTGACTGACTGGCAGCTGTCAATGTGCCAAACAGATGTCAGAATCTTGCCTGTTACATAATCGCTACAGTTGGGCAAGACGGCATGAGCAAAAACTGGACCTGCTTTCATGCTCAGTATCACTGTATGAATTTTGCTGGACCAGTTCCCTATAATCATATACCAATAAAACAACGTCAGATTGAAATGTTCATCTCACGTTGAATTGCTCTGTAACTGTGTTGGTGTTCTCACAGGTGTTGGTGTACCAGGACCTCGAGGAGAGAGAGGAGAACCTGGCAGCTTTGTGCCTACATCAGGTTGGTTAGAGAAAACTCATTTCAGATGTGATGTAGGTTCATCTTGTCACACTCAGCCCCTTCTGTCTTTACCGGACATTTTAAAGTATTTTCACTCTTTTGCCTCAGAGACCTTCTTTGCTGGACCACCAGGACCTCCAGGCCCTCCTGGCCCACAGGGCTCAGCAGGTAGGTCCAATAGATTTTATGTGTCTGACTATTGCAGAATTTAAACATTTACATTCATGTCATTATTCTCTCCTAAGGTGACCGAGGACCACAAGGGTACCAAGGTGAAAAAACTGAAAACCACATCTAGAAACAACAGTTTAAAAAAAGAAAAGACCTATGACATGTGACTTAAATGAATGATGATTATTCTAGGTGAACCGGGTCAACCAGGCCTTCCAGGAGGTCCAGGGGAACCAGGTGCTGGTATGTCATCAACTGTTGAGTAGATGAACTTTTTAGATGAAGAAGTTGAAACATGAAGACACTCCAGTCTTATGCTGATTTCTCTCTAGTTGTATGAGTTGTCATATGGAAAGTAATTATAGTGGTTAGCCTTGAAACCTTGCTGTTTGCCTTTTAGGAAGTTACTTCACTCCAAAGCAAAAAGTTAGTTTAAGACCTCACAGTTTTCGGACACATCTTGTGGTCAGGGCTTCACTAGTCCTTGTTGGTCTTCAGTTGTTGATGGTAAAGCAAGCACACATGCTGAATCTGTGTTTTAATGCCAGGTTTCCCAGGTCAGCCTGGACCAAGGGGGCCTCAGGGACCAGAAGGCGCACGTGGCCCTCGAGGTGAACCAGGCCCACAGGGACCACAAGGAGAGAAAGGTAAACTCAGTCATCTGTTCTGCTCCTCAATAGCAGACCTATTACAAATGATGCTTTCTGGTGGTTCTGTCCTTCCACTGCCTCCTTTTGTGCATGTTTTCTTGTATCAAGAAGTCAGCACACACAGATTGTGTCATTCTACCTATATGTTCCTTGTAGGTGATGCTGGAGTCCCTGGTGCCCCAGCAACATATGGAGCCTCCACTGGTGAGACATTCGGAATATGACATTACATTGAATTATATTTTAACATGTTAACCTTCACCAATCCTGTGCTTTTAGAAGGGTTGTTGGGTTATGTTGTTACTGAGCATCAACAAATGGTATGCTGTCATTTTTCACTATTCTATCTAAATAGATGCAAAATGCCCCCAAACTGTAAGACTCATTAGAGGAGCTGCAGCTTAAACTGCTTTGGTTTCACCACTCAGCCAGGGCTGGTGCTGCTTGCTAATATTACAAGAGCTAATAACATATCAGTTGTAGTAGTACTAGTCATTTCATCTTTGAAAATGACTGACATTACTATTTAAGATTTGTACAGTCTATGGGTATGTTGTATTTGTGAATTTGTTTTTATCATCACAGGTAGTTCCTACACTCCTGGCCCTCCAGGCCCACCTGGACAACCTGGTCCACCTGGAAGAGATGGAAGTTCAGCTGAATCAGTAGATGTGGGCCAGTACATTGCAGAGTACCTTCAGAGTAAGCTCTACTAACACTACACAAGAATGAAGGAAGACCTAACTCAAGTTGCCAGTTGAAATTGTATTTTCTTGACATGCAGGTGGTGTCTTAAATGAGTACCTGGCTGGACCTCCTGGACCACCTGGTCCCCCTGGACGCGATGGATCCATAGATGTGGGCCAGTACCTTGCAGAGTATCTTCAGAGTAAGCTGTATATTTTATATAATGAAAAACGACACGAGTCAGGTTACCTGTTGAGATGGTAATTTCTTGACATGCAGGTGGTGCCATCAATGAGTACCTGTCTGGACCTCCTGGACCACCGGGTCCACCTGGCCCACCTGGAAGAGATGGAAGTTCACTGGATCCACAGATGTGGGACAGTACCTTGCAGAGTACCTTCAGAGTGAGCTGCCGTAATACTATGTGTGAATGAAAAAAACACCTGATTCAAGTTATCTGTTTGAGACCCTGTTTTATTGACATGCAGATGGTGCCATCAGTCAGCACCTGGCTGGACCTCCAGGGCCTCCAGGGCCGCCTGGTCCTCCAGGAGACTCACGCTCCTCATCAAATGGGCTGGTTGATGATGTTGCCAACCGGGTCATGTCCTACCTCCAGAGTATGATCAGTAACATAATCATAATAACCATACATGCAAAGAAAAGAAAAGAAAAAAAATACTATTTTTTAACGTTATTGATGGCCTCTGTGGAATTTTCACTGAAAACTCAGGTTCAGGTAGAGGGCATGGTGGAGTTCCTGGCCCTCCTGGTCCTCCAGGCCCACCTGGTACCATGTCTGTCAGTGACATCATCAACCTTTTACAGCGTAAGTTTCAATCCCCAAATGTCTGACTCAGAATATTTGAATGTCACACAAATAAACATATGTTGTTGGGAAGACTGTCGATATTATTGACCTGTTTATTGACCTGTTTTCCACAAAATCTCAAAACAAAAAAGATTGTCGTTTAATGTCCAGCAGCCCGAGAACAAATGATAAGACTGTCAATTTTCCTGTGTCCAGGAGAGGATGTGAGGAGATATATATCTGGACCTGCTGGAGCACCAGAGCATGGCCAGAGATTTGACACCCAGGAGGTGGCTGAACGGGTCCTCAGACTCATGAATGGTTGGCGTTACAGAAGCATCAATGAAGTTATCAATTATCAACAGTTGCTCTGTTGAGAGAACACGAATGTGACTGTGGGTCTTTTCTGTCACCAGAGAGGGGGATGACAGGTGCCCCTGGACCTCCTGGACGTCCTGGACCTCCTGGGCTTCCTGGAAGTGCATTATCAAGTAAGAGACACAATGACCACAACAATTAGTTCCCTAGTAAGATTAGGATTTTAGATTAGAGCATTTAGAATGTTCGAAAATACATAGATCTAATAACATTTTCAGTGTTATTAGATTCAATGTGACACTTCCATTGTCTGACTAGGTGGGTATCAAGCAGATGTGAGCCGTCAAGGGCCTCCTGGTCCTCCAGGTGTCCCTGGTGCACAAGGGCCACCTGGACCAGTAGGACCAGCAGGACCACCTGGCCCACCAGGATATGGAAACAACATAAACTCAGACATCCGTGATTACCTGCAAAGTTAGTTTGATTTAAAACATTGACTTTCTGACAATTCATTCATTGGAATTCACCCATTAATCATTCTATATTCACACCCATTCTATCCCATCTGTTTCATGACTTCCAAAGGTGTCGCCTTCAGAGGTCCTCCAGGCCCTCCTGGTCCCCCTGGACCTGTAGGTCCCCCCGGTCCAATCCTTGGAAGGGCTGCATATGTTGGGCATACCAACAGAGAGCATCTCAAAGCAGAACAAGAATATGGGAGTGAGTTACCACAGGAACTTTTAATCAACCTAATGAGCATGTCTTTAGACTGTGGGAGCTGGAGAACCTAGAAAGAACCCACGCAGACAAGGGGAGAACGTGTAAACCCTGGAGGGCCACAGGCCTGGGAATCAAACCCAGAATCTTTTTGCTGATAGGCAATAGTGCTTGCCACTGCACCAACGTGCCGCCCGAACTCATATATGTCCTTTGATATTATGTTCTATTGTGTGCAGGTGATGGTGTGATGGGAGGTATGTTTGGACTTCCTGGTCCTCCAGGTCCTCCTGGACCCCCAGGACACAAGGGAGAACCAGGTGTGCCTGGGGCCATTGACTGGAACATGGATACTCGTGATTACTCCAATATGGCTGTCAGAGTAACGGATTACATAAAGTGTAAGTGGCAGTTACTCAAGGATCACACTACAGATGGCAAAATTCAATACATCATTTTGGTTTGTGCTCTGTTTATTTATTTTTATTTGATGTTTGTTGAACCAGGAAGACTCTTGACACTTCCATTACAAGAGAGACCTGGCCAAAATGGCAACAGATAGAGAGAGAGGTGTCACACAAGAACGTTTATCACATTGCAAACAACAAAAGAAGAAATAGATGAAGCTTGACTGTAGAAATCATTCTTCATAAAATATGTTTTTTGTATGTGATGCTTAAATGTTTCATATAAAAGGCAGCATTGCTGGACAGTCTTGTAATTTTTTCCCCAAGCCTTGGGTCATAATAGCAAAAAAGACTTTTAATGAGTTCTGAACAGACAAATTATTCATCCAGGGGATCTGGTCTGACAGCTGTGATAGTAGAAAGCTTTTTACTATGGTGAATAGAATGTTTGTTTTCATTTGCATGATACAATTCATGACTGTGTTGTCCTCCATATGCAGCGCATGGTCTGCTCCAGGATGTCCAACATACTGTTCAAGGACCTCCAGGACCTCCTGGACCCCCAGGACAACCTGGACAAACCCAGTGGGTTGGTTCCAGTGAGAATGTGGTGAATGTGGTGGACTATCTGAAATGTAAGTGAATTTCAGCATGATGATGACAGACTGTATGTGTCAAATTTTGTGTGTTTTGTTTGATTTTTGAAGGTCAACCACAACTCTGCCCAAACTTGAAAAATGGCTTGCTCATCCGAAATGCAAAGGACAACTCGATGATTCTCATTCCTTGATTTTTTATTTTCTTGTTGAATGGGATGGAGAATGGAATGGCGTAGACTAGCATAGCAGGTAGCGTAGCATAGCAGGTAGCATAGGTAGCATAGGTAGTGGGGTTAGGGGTAGGGTAGGTATGAAAACACTTAAAGACAAAATCAAATTCACATAAGGCTAAAGAATAAATGTTAAAGATAAAAATAAAGAATAAATATTAATTTCCAAATTAATGTTAATTAACCAATGATCAAAGTCGTTTAAATTAGTCTTGGGTTCCAGACAAACAGTCAACAGCCAATGATTAAAGTGCCAATCATACCTATGTAAAATGATTAAAGTAATAATTACTTAAAGTAAGTTTCTATGATCAACTGATGACTAAGTCCAGGCATTGAAGTAAACAAATAAAGTGCATTAAATTTCAACCAACTTAAATTAGATTACCCCCAAATACAAACACAAAAGGTCATGGAGCATAATCTCAAAACACATTTCAACATTTAAACTCGGCTTGTCTACCAGTTGCGTCTTGGGATTGAACACTGAGCTGTGGTTGTGGCTATTGTTTCAGCAGCAGGCGAGAGAATGAACAGAGCACCTTGCCAAACACTTATCACCTTCCTCTTCCTGTGTCATGATGGTGATGATGGTGATGGTGGTGATGGTTGCCCCCTGCCAGCTCAGAATACATGCTGAATGAACTTGGTCTGCATGTTGTGAATGTGAATGGGCTTGACACAACAGTATGTCTGTCCCTGCTTGTGTCACAGTTACTCCTCCAGCCCAACACTTTATTCTTTACTTGGCATTGGATGCATATGGTCACGCTTTGTGTGCATTACCCAATTTTCTTATGTTTTCAGCTCGTGGCGTGCTGCGTGACATTGTGAGGGAGTACAGTGATCAGGTCTTCCAAGGACCTCCAGGACCACCAGGCCCCCCTGGTCCCCCAGTTTACAGCCGATTTGGTCCAAATGGGAATGCCACAGAACAAATGGAGTATTACAAAAGTGGGTGTACTGTGCATTTACAGTTAAACAGACTGTTGGGGTACTGGGCTGATGCCTAACCTTTTATTTTCCAGTGCAAAATCTGCTGCGTAACAATGAGCAGGCTCAGAATCAACGTGTAATCCAAGGACCACCTGGACCACCTGGGCCTCCAGGTCCACCAGGGCACAGCAGATGGTTTGGTTCCCAAGACAGTGTTACTGATTTGGTGCAATATATCAAAAGTAAAGTAACATTTAACAAATACAAAATACACTCAAGAGCAAAAAAATGTGAGAATGGAGATTTCTGAAACTAATTGAATTTGTCTCACACAGCACATGGAGCCATTGTGGGACCACCTGGGAGTCCAGGACATAAAGGGGACATTGGATTCCCTGGTCCAAAAGGAGAGAAAGGTGCACCTTTAAATCTTTAAAGAAAAACAAACTTGGAATAGAGAAATCTTCTAGATTGTGTTCGTACTGGTGATAATACATGAACATGTTTTTGATAGTTTTAATCATGTCATACAAGAATGTTATTTGTTTTCCCAGTTAAATGAGACCACGGCAAAAATGGGAGGTCCCATGTAGAGAAAACACCGTTATAAATGACCTTTGTCTTTCATGACTTTTCCTACCGTTCAGTGGTTACCCTATAACAACAATGTCTGTCTGCACACAGGTGAACGAGGCTTTCCTGGGCCTGAGGGGCGCCAAGGACCAAAGGGTGACAGAGGTCAGTCATTATTATTTCACACTTACCTCTGGCCAGATGTTTCAGTTCTTCAAAGCTTTATTTAGCTCATCTGCTGCAGCCACTGCAACTCTAGGTGTGCAGGCTTATTCAAAGTTAGCTGGAACATGACCAAGTAAAAATGTCACACTTGATCTAATTTTGGATACCAACAGAAAAAGTAAAATTACACGTTTTGATAAGAAAATACTTTGTGATGAAGAAATCATCAAGAGGCCTGTCCTGTAGAATAAAATACTGACTAACGCTTTCTTGCTGTAATCAAATTCCATTAAGCGATCTCCTAATATGTAACAATTTCAATGCACATTATAGATGACACAATCCACAGTGCCTGTTCAATTCAAGAATATATGTTAAACTAACTTTAGTTTAGTGACACACTTTACTTTAGCTTAAGTTTGGTAAATCAGGTTTGCAAAATCCTCCACTGCAGCTCAGCAACAACATTAAACAGTGGACAGTTCAAAATAAAAGCCTGCAACAAAAACATACAGTCCTTTCATTTGATCATTTTCCAAAGTGCTTATATATAAAGTAAGGGATCATATCCAATATAAACAGCCTATTTCAGTGTTTATCTGACTGACTTGGAAATTTTTGAACTGATCCTTTAAGATGCTTTACTGTGCAGCTGCAGTAAAAATGTGCAGCCTGTATCCATCGTACCATATGGGGTGCTGAATGTTAAGTTATAGTTTTTTTTTTCTCACATTTAGTCTTTAGTCTTTTCTCACATTTAGCTAGTTTTTAATGTTTAGATTTATGAACATATGAACATATGTTAAACTTATGAACATATTTATATGTAATAGTGAGATATAGGTTGAACATTTAGATTTACACTTGTTACATTTTGTTTTTCATTAATTTCTGCCACAAATAATAATTAAAAAAAACAAGCTAAATGTGAGAAGTGAGTGAATGTTTGTGTTAACATGCTAGAACAAGCAGGTGCTGGTCAGTTGGGATAGGCTGTGTCAAGCAACCTTTAACTCAAACCCTCCATGTTGCCTTCCAGGAGAATTTGCAGTGATGACTAAAAGGAGGAGGAGGAGTGTTGAAGTATGAGAGCCATATAACTGAGCTCATGGAGCTTCAAGTCAAATCTGCTGTTTAACAAGAGATGTATATATGAATCTGGATGGTATGGATGTTGACCACAAATATACCTGTTTTTGTAAGGGATGTGATTGTACTTTTATACTGACAAACATTTATTGTGCAGAGTTGTATCTATGGTGTCAGGGATTATGAATTGACTAAGATGGTCTAATGCACAAGGGAACAGAGGTTTTTTTTGGTGTGGGAGTCAATGAAGAGCTGGCTTTTTTCATCTTTTTATTACATTGCTCCTTTTCTACAAAAGGTGTGCACACACACACGTACATTTCCATATGGGACCAAAGTAAGCACTACTTACAACAATGTAAGAGAGAACTGTTTATTTACAGCAAAAATGAAAATCTACATTACACAAGCATTTTAAAAACTATATGTATTTTTTAAATGTCTAATGATTTTGATATGGATCACGGTTTTGTTTTTTTCAGACAACATTCAGAATTTAATCAGTTTACAGTTTCTATCTGACAAACAGGACAAGAATTGACCAGACTGATTTAGTCTAATTGTGTGTGCTGCAACCCTGCTGAGTGAAGCAGGTTAGTTTTAGCAAGTGCTACAGTGTGCTTTTTCATACAGTAGCTTTTGAGAAAGTTTTGCAAATGGTGCACAGCACTCCTTCAGTAAGTTTATACACAACAGTTCAGTTATTAAATACATTTGTGAACTTTAAAGCCAATTAGAGAAAAATGAGATGATAAAAATGAACCAATCAGATGTGAACATGGCCTAAACCAGTCAGGTCCATTTTTGCATCACCCGCCTTTAAATATCACACAATAAAAACTTTTCCTCAGAGCTGATCTGTCTGTTTTTCTTTGTTTGAATACAGTTGAAGGTAAATCATTCACAATGCTTCATGAAACCAAGAGTTTGACCAAAATCTTAAAAGGTGGTCATACAAATATATATTTTAAGTATTAAGGCTATTAACTAGGATATCATTGAAAATGGTATTATCATTTCAATAAAAAGGAGAGACAAAAGCCATGCAGGCCTACCAATAATACACCTGGTGGTAAACCAAGATGAAAACCAAAGCAAATACGAGGGAGGCATCATCAACTACAACTGTAGGTTAGATTTTTTTGTTCCCCAGTTAGTTGAAATAATAGTGGTCTATGGTTTGGTGGCACTCA